GTGCGGCAGGGCTGTGTGTGCGGCGTACGATACATGCCTGGCTGCTGCCCTCTCCCCATGTGGTGTGCCCTCTGTGTGTGTCTGCCGCACCTCTCGTCTCCCCTGTTGCTCTCCATGTCCCTCACTGTGCAGATCAGCTCCACACCACTGAACGACCACACTCACGATGATGATGACGTGCCGTCTGCTGTGCGCCCTGTTGGTGCTTGCCCTGTGCTGCTGCCCGTCCGGGTGTGTTAGAGCGAGTGCTGGCGCGGAACGTGATGGACACACTGAACCGCCCACACCGTCACACAAGCCAGGCCTGGGGGCCAATTCCTTGGGTCCAAATGCTCGTACAGTCCCGAAAACGAATAGCTCCGGCGGATCATTTCAATCTGTTTCTACCGTTGCGGAAGGGGAACCCGATGTGTCGTCCAACACACCACATGGAGCAATTACGTCTGTTCAGTCGGGGTCAGAGGATGGTGACACCGATTCGCCAGGTTCAACGGGTAATTCCGAAGAATTGGTGGTACAAAAAACAACAGAGCATGATCCGGCAGTGCCAGCACCTAATGAAGAGGTTGCGGAGAAGGCAAAAAATGCGACGAATACGACCCCTACGATAAAGACACCGCCACTACCAATCTCGGCAGTACTACAGCCAAAAGCATCACCAGCAGTGACTGTTCCAGAAACAGGAAAGGGCTCAGCGGCACGAAATCTCTCCCAGTTGTCAAGAGAACAAAATAAAGAAAACACAGCGTCACAAACCAAAGCGCTGTCCGAAGCAATGAAACGGCATCCAGGGGATGCTGAGGCAGAGCAACAAGAACAAGAGAGCGACACATCAAATCTGGTGGAGATTAACGATGACGGCAAACATGCGGTAACGACATCATCATCCATCTCTATAAATGACAGTGACGATGCCCAGGGTACGGGGGTTGAGAATAATGACAATGATCCACGGCCCAACCCCACAGAAACAAGCGACCACAAAGTTGATAATACCAACCCTGCTTCTGCACCCACTGAGACCGCACCAGAAACAGTGAATACGGCCACCGCCGAAAGAAATGAAACACTGAGGTCTGAAGGCAGTGACGGCAGCACCGCGGTCTCCCACACCACCTTCCCTCTTCTTGTTGTTGCGTGTGCGGCTGCGGCTGCGGTGGTGGCCGCGTGAGAGTGAGAGAGAGAGAGCCGTGCACCGCCCGCACACACACTCGTCCTTCACTCTCTCTGTGTGTGTGTCCCCTTGCATGGACTCTCGCCCTCACCTCACCCCACGAGGCACACACATAATGTGCCCATTGTATATATGCATGCACACCCATGCAGGCCCTTTGGTGCTCTCTTTTGCACGACACGCACCGCTGCCGTCCTGCCTGGCTGCATGGGCGGAGCACCGTAACTGTTTCTGTTTTGTTTTTATTGCATTGAGTGGGCGACCTCTCTCTCCCTCCCTCTGTGTGTGTGTTTTGCTTTACGGGAGCAGTGAGAGTGTGTGCGCTGGTCGTCCCACGCTTCGGCATTTTTCTTTCACTTTGGTTTTTTGAATCTTTGCTTGTGTTGTGGTTGGGTGCACCCATTTTAATTTCATTGATTGGTTTTCTTTTTGAACTGCGGAGGGCTGAATATTCTCTTTTGTATTCTCCTGGTCTTTGTTTCTTCCCACGCAATCGGTCCTTGTTGCTTCAGCGAGCCAAGAAATATTTGCCTAACACCCACATCAATGGCTTACTTGCCCTACACCCCACATTAGTTTGAGACGCTGGTGCTGCTGCATGTGATGGTGTTTGTGGTGTGATTGCCAGCGGGTGCTTTGCTGTCACTTTGACGTACCCTCGATTTGTTGAATATGTTATGCGTGCCGACAGGGCGAATTGGATCCGCGTCGTTGTGAGGGACGCACCCTTTTTGAGCGGTGAGTGCGCTGCAGCCATACACCGTCATTGGGAGGGATGGATGCCCATCCGCATCAACGTATCCACAAGGGACCTGGATGATGCCGGGAAGTATTGGATCTCAGAGAGGTACTACGCAATGAATTCATTGAATGACAATTGCGAGTGTGAAGGTGACGTTGTATCCTCTGCGCACGGGACCATTCTCGAGGATGAAGTTGTCCCTGCTGCTGTCAACCCGCATGCGGTTCGTCTGCCCATGCAGCCACTGGAGGGTTCTTTGATTGTGCCCCCATTTGCCACGGGCAGCGTTTGCCTTCGGTTCACGGTGCGTGCTGGGCATTGTTCCACTGGTGTTGCCAATGCTGACATGGTGCTGTCCGTGGCAGAGCGCTGTCGGTGGTGGTGCACTCGACGACTGCCGTGATGGCTGCGAGGAGCACCACGACTGCGACGACATTGATGGCATGGAGCTGCAGGATGGCGATGGTGACGGGAGGACGCTGGAGTCGCACTGGTCGCAGCGCCACGCGAAGGATGAGTGGATGGCACCGATTGGTTGTGCCGGCTACTACACGGAGCTGACGCTGGCTGCATTTGCTGACCTGAGCTGCATGAGGGCGAAGTGGGAGATGGCGGAGCCGATGCGCTGGTGAAGGAATTCGTGCTGTGCACTGCTGCAGAGGAAGTGCTCCGCACCGAACGTGAGTGGATATCCCCACATGTTGTGCGAAACGGGAGTTCATGCCAGACGCTGCACGTTGGATCGGTATTCCAGTGGTTGGTGTGTAGACGAATTATCCATGAAGGGTCAGCAAAACGCTCGATGGACATTTGCCCCATCACTGGTCCCGCACTGGATGTGAGGAATGCTGAGGCTGCTATTTGGAGGGGAGAATATTTGTCTGCGGTGCCTGGGGACAAGCCCTCTTCGTGGTGTCTGGACACGCTTCCCACCAACACGACGGATGCGAGGGACCCGGAAGAAACATACATCTCGGTGCTGTCATGCATGCGGCATTGAAGTGCCTCGGCATGCGGGTGCGTCTGAGAGTGACTGAAGAGGGTAACGCCTGTTGTGCCCCATGCACTGACGAGGCGAAGATTGCGTGGGCCGCTCCGCGCTACGACGAGGGAAAAGCTATTTTCCGTGACCACGCGCAGGTGTGCACGATATCCGCCACCAGCGGCAGGATACTTCCCGTGGTTCCGTGGGGCGGCGATGTGAGAGGGTGTGGAGCAGGACGGTTTCACTGGCATCTACTGAACAAGCTTTGCTACGGGCATCCGTCCCCGATCCAGAGAGCATTGGGAGCGGCCGCGGCACACCACCGAAGGATGTGGACACGGCTGCTCCCCAGAAGCATCCGTCGTCAGAGGAGAAGGAGGTCGCCTCCGGTGCCACGACGGCAACGGTGTGCTCTTGCCCAGCGACACCGCGGGTACGCCGCAGGAGGCGGAGAAGGAGCGCGATCTTCCGGACATCGACGATGTGGCCGCCGATGGTGTGACGTCTGTTGTCGGACAATCATTAGGAGATGAGGCCGCCAGCGACAAGGCCGGTGGCGGTGCCACAGCCACGGGACCCAGGAGCCCTGATGCCGCTGATGCCGCGCAGGGCGCCGTGGACCCTCCGCCGAGGGAGGATGAAGCGGCGGTGGTGTGCGGGGGTTGGGAGGCAGACATGAAGGACGCTCCGCCTCCGATCCACGGCAATAACAGTGCGGCTGTTGCTTTTCCCTTTCCGCTGCTTCTTCTGCTTGCCGCTGCCGCCGCGGTGCCAACACTCAGCAGTGGGTGCAAGAGAGAGAGGCCTATATCAACTGGCATGTTCCTATCAGTATATACATACACTCTGCTTGTCTGTATACTTTGTACCAGGGACATGCTGTATGCACTCTCCCTCTTTTGTTGTTCGCTAATGTGGCGGCACCACGCGTGTATTATGGGCTGGGATAAGAAATTGTTTGACTTCTTCTGGAGGATACTGTGGGGTGTTTGTGTGCGTGTGCGAGGGATCTGTGTGGTTTTGATTTCCCTATTTTTGTTTACCTGCCTTGTCATTGTGTAATGATACTTCCCTTCTCCATTATGTGTGTTCTGAAGTGTTGCTAGGGCACCGGGAGTGGATGCCTGTGGACGCACGCCGTGCATTATGCGCTACATTGGTGGGAGGGGAGACTGACATAACTGGCGGGATTCAGTAAGGCGCATTTTGCCCACAGACCCTGCAGCCGCAGCAGCCTCAGCGGCGCTTTGCATATGGACGTGTGGATTGTTTCTCTCTTGCGAGGCCTTTTTTACTGCGTGTCATTTTCCGCTCGGGTACCGTGCCCGTGGCAGCAGCGGCGGCATCAAAAGGGCTGTGTGCGTGGAGAGTCCTTGATTGAGTGCCTGTCTTACTTCTCTGTTCTGTTGATTGATTGTACCGTGTGCCGGCCAAACGGTTGACATGACGTCTTTCCGACGGCGGGGTCCACGTGACACGATGTTGCGTTGCGTGCTTTGTTGCGGGTGTGTGATTTCAGCAACGGTTTTTGGGCGGTTGACTGTTGGGTCGTTGAGGGCGGCGTGGCGACGGGTGTGGATGGACCCGATTGTGTGCCGTGGCTGTTCGTGCGGGGGAGTCGCGGGAAGGAGGAAGGCAGCGGAGCGATGGACTCACGAGGAGTGCGGTGGCGTGCAGCCATGAAGATTGGCGACAGGGAACTCACTGCCGCTGTGAGTTGCCGTGTGTGGTGTTTGTTTCTGTTATTATTACTTGCGTTGTTGGATGTGGCCGCTGTGGGGAAGACTGTTTTTTGTTTCTTTTCACGCCGTTTTCGGATCCTTTTCTGCAACGGCATCACTGTGTTCCTGCCGTACTGTTGCGCCCTCTTTCCCTTCCATATTGGGGGCAGCTGCGGGTGGGTTTTACATGCCGTGGAGTTGTGTGCCGTGCTGTCCGGTGTTTCATTGTTGCCTGTTCTTCCTGCGTGCACGCGTCCCCCATGCTCATGACAGCAACCCTCACGCAAACGCTACTCCTCCTTTTCCATGCTGCTGATGTGTGTGTGTTCTTCTCCTCCTCCTCTCTTTGTCCCTCCCTAGACTGTGTGTGCAGCCGCGATGCTGATGATGATGACTGGCCGTGTGCTGCTGGTGTGTGCCCTCTGCGTGCTGTGGTGCGGTGCCTGCGGTGGTGGATGTTCTGAAACATCTTCTCCAGGTTCTTCGGTTAAAGCGTCCGACGGGAGCACTCAAAAAGAAGAGGCCGTCGTTGGCGCTGGAGAAGGTGACCAAAACGGTGAACCGGCTGAGCCTCAAGAAAAACCAGCACCAAAAGCGTCAGAATCACAGGGAGCGGTACCGGGCCCGTCACTGGCACCAAAATCCGGAGAAGCATCAGATCCGGCAAGTAAAACGACGGACAACAACGATCAAAATGCACAAGGAGGTAAAAAAGGGGAAAAAGACGAGAAACAAGAACAGGAGGACGAAGAGGAAAACAATGGTGCGAATGAAGAGGAAGTGACAATGAAAGAAAACGCTGTTACCAGCACCACAGAGGTGATCTCAGCAGGCGGTCAAGAGCAGCGAATTTTATCTTCTGGTGCGGCGGGAGCATCGAATAAAACAAAACCCAACAGCACAACAACAACTGGAGACGATGATCCAGCAGCTGATGGTGCAGGGACAGCAGAGGGAAAACAAAATGAAAATAAAGGTGCCAATCCGAAAGAAACACCATTGACGGCGGCAGTCATGAAAACTACAACGGCGACGACTGGCGACAGTGACAGCAGCACCGCGGTCTCCCACACCACCTCCCCTCTTTTGCTTCTTCTTGTTGTTGCGTGTGCGGCTGCTGCTGCGGTGGTGGCCGCGTGAGAGTGAGTGTGAGAGAGCCGTGCACCGCCCGCACACACACTCGTCCTTCTCTCTCTGTGTGTGTCCCCTTGCATGGACTCTCGCCCTCACCTCACCCCACGAGGCACACACATAATGTGCCCATTGTATATATGCATGCACACCCATGCAGGCCCGTTGGTGCTCTCTTTTGCACGACACGCACCGCTGCCGTCCTGCCTGGCTGCATGGACGGAGCACCGTAACTGTTTCTGTTTTGTTGTTCTCTTACGATTGTTTTAATTGTTTTCAATTTTTATTTGCTGTTTGCTTTAAAATATTTCAAATTGTTTTTTTTTTCTCTGGTTGTGTGATTTTTTTCTTTCGTTTAGTTTTTGTTATTAATTTTCGTCTGTTTTTTTTTTATTTTGCTCCCCCACCTCTTCTTTTTGCTTTTGGGGCAATCACTATGGACGTGTTTTTCTTTTCTACTCTTCCCTCTTTAATTGTTTGTTGCTGCACTCTTCCTGCGAGGGGTGCCGTGTGTTTCCCGCCCAACTGCTCCACTCGCACACCCACCGACACGCTCACGACGACGGCCCTGTGCGCCTCGCCTGCTGCACGCATGAGGAGGGGCCGCGACGAACGGCGCGCTGAGGGAGCCGTGACGTGTGGGCGTGCGACGAGGGCCTGTGGGGCGGCGCACACATTTCTTTCCTCTTGTTTTGTTTCTTTGCGGCCAGGGCTGGCAGACACCCGCAGCACCACACACACAGCCACACCCTGCCGCCGTGTTTTTCTTTAAGGATTTGTTTTGTTTTTTTGCTCTTGTTTTTGTTGCCATCGTGTGTGGTTGTTGATGTCGGGACCGTACTGCATTTGTCGCTGCCATCCAGCTGTCCCTCTTGCTGTGTTGATGTGCCTTCCTGTGCTCCTCTTCTCTTCTGCTCCTCCAGCACACACACACACATATATACTTAGTTGCACGGTGCTCTGCAGGAATGTCTTGGTGACGGTGGGACGTTGGCCTGCATCCCGTGCTGACATAGTTTGGTCGCTGCGTGTCTACCGTTAGCAGTGGGAATCACGGTGTCATTGGATGGATGCGTGTGGTACGTTTGTTGCATGGTGCTGGAGGCCGGCTGACGTGGCTGCACGATGCCCGCCATGTGTGAAGTTGTTTCCTGCTCTTGGGGTCATTCTCCACTCTCCTGTGTGTTTGCTTTGCCGGGTGCGTGCGTTGCTCGGTGTGTGCTGACGCGTGACGGACGGTACCACGATGGCCTTCTCTGGAGGTGACAGTCGCTGTGCTCTCGGCACACGTCCACAAGACTTTTGGTTGTCTGTTTTGGAGTGATTGCAGCAGGGCATTGCTGCGGGCGTGACGGGGACCACGACGGCGTCACCCCTCGAGAAGGTCCCATGCACTGTCGGTTGTGGGGCGGCGAGGCGGTTTGCCTGCAGCCCGACTGACAACCGCACAGTCGTTTCATTGCGGTCACTTTGCCGGCATCACCCGCTGCGGTGGCGTCCACAAGAGCCGCATCTCAGAAGTTCAAGCCGTTCCCCCTCAGGATTGCCCTTGCTGCTTGACTGGCGCAGCACCAGCCCGACATCGTTCTTCTGCATGAGTGCAGGCACCAGAGTGCCAGCGACGAGGCTCATTGGCTGCATTGACTTCCACCAGGCCTGCAGTGGGTGTGCCGGTGGCGTGACCTTCGTTGTGCGCCACACCTTTCCGTGCGAGCGCCTGTCGCTGCTGGAACCAACTGCCTGGAGACCACCGCCCTCCGCGTGTGCCCACCGGCCAGCCCCAGCATGTGCGTGGTGAACCTCTGCAGCCTTCCCGGCAACTGCTCACTTTGCGAGCGACATTCGTCGTCTTGGTCCTGCAGCGCCCATTGCGGTTGACCTGAATTCACACCATGAGCTGCGGGACGGTCGCTCACCATCAACGACGGCAGGAGAGGACATCGCCGCCACCCCAAGCGGCATGGACTGTGAGCTTTCTGACGTCCCGGCACAGGCAACGCGGATTAGCGGCCGCAGCGTCTCGTTTCCCGACGTGACTTGCAACGCGTACTGCGTGTCTCCCATTGGACGTCCACCCGTTTACATGGACTCGGACCAACATCTGCCATCCCACACTGCAGGGACGGAGGACGGCATCCCACGACTGGCAGGCATGCTGCCACAACGGAAACATGTCGCCTTTTTCCTGCGTGATGCCGACTGGAATGCTTCCACCTCGGCGTGTGGAACACCTCTGGCCACTGTGACCACATGGTTGGAGATACACCGAGGCACCATACCGCGCGGCAGCCGTGACATTCCCACATGTATCTGGACGGAATGGAGCAGGCCGAGTGTGTTGCAGCGGCAGCCTGCCCCGTGCTGAAGTGCTCCGCAAACGGGAGGACCGCAATCATGCCCTCCGCCGTGGCTTCTCCATGCTCCTAGAGGCCCGTGCGAAACAGTTTGGTGCCCTCTCGATCCCAGGCCTGTGATGCTCCGAGGCATGACGGAGCCACGTCCCTGTCCTCTGGGATCGGCTGTGCTGCGGTGCTGTTGGGACCGCGTCTGTGCTCTGCCTCCGCCGTAACCTCTTCCCGACGTGAGCACCGCCACTCCTTGCCGAGCAGCAAGCGGCTGATTGACGTCCTCCTGCCCACTCCTCGGCAGACCGACACGCGCCCTGCAGATCACAAGCAACCCATTATTTCGGTGATGCCGCCCTTCCTCACACTGAAGAGGCAGGACCGCCTCGACCTCCTCCGGAACCTCCACCTGGCGTGTCCACGGCACCTCCTCGTAGAACGACGAGCAGCAGATCAACGTCGCCCCGCCCAAGCTGCAGCAGCGTCTTCTTGTCCGCCCATCATATGGAGACACACGCCCGACGCACTAACCCCGGCACTCCAATCGTTGCAGAAGGCCTCAAATGTGGATTCTGCGACAGCTCCACGGTTTCCCCAACAAGTGCCTCACGCGCAGGTCATTACCGAAAATGTCAAGCGTATCAACGAGCAAAAAACGGACAACGCACCTCTGCAAGCTCCAATGACAGCCGTAGCCCTTCAGCCACTCCTCTGCTGCAACCCCCACCAGCCGCTGAGCCCCCGACAATCCACGGGAAGGCCTGCCGCACACGCTGTGGGAATGCCCCCGTCCTCGACAACTGAGCATCCGACTATTTGGGAGCACACCCTTTCGCACGACAGCACCGTTCAAGAAGGAAAAACTGGCCACATCGCTACGGACAGCCCGCGGGCCATTAACGAGCAGTGGCAGCAAAGTATAACGAAACAAATACTTCCCTTTTCTCAGCATAGAAAAACGTCACCTTCACACTCGCAATTGCCCCAATGAATTCATTGCGTAATACCGCTCTGAGCTGCAATACTTCCTGGTACCATCCAGGTCCCTTGTCGACACATCGATGCGGATGGGCGCCCATCCATTCCTCCCAATGACGGTGCATGTCTGCGACGCACCCTCAGATCCAAAAGGCACGTCCCTCACCACAGCCGCGATCGACTTCGCCCTGTGGGCACGCATCGCTTTGTCAGATGAGCAGGAGTACGTCAGGCTGGCAGCAAGGCACCCACTGGCACAACACATCACAACCAGAAGAACCAGCAGCACTGCAGACCGTGAGGTGACGTGGACCAACCGACACATGCTGTACGTAACAGAAAATACTTCATGGTTTGAAAAGAATAAGAAACACTGACAATATCTCAAAGGAAAAAAAAATGAAAAAGAGAATTTAGGCGTCCGCAGTCAAAGCAAACTGCCAATAATCGAATAAAAAGTGTAATGGGTGTACTCAACCACAACACAAGTAAAACAAAAAGCCGAAGCGTGGGACGACCAGCGCACACACACTCTCATTACTCCCGTAAAGCAAAACACACACACACAGGGAGAGAGAGAGAGGTCGCCCACTCAATGCAACAAAAACAAAACAGAAACAGTTACGGTGCTCCGCCCATGCAGCCAGGCAGGACGGCAGCGGTGCGTGTCGTGCAAAAGAGAGCACCAACGGGCCTGCATGGGTGTGCATGCATATATACAATGGGCACATTATGTGTGTGCCTCGTGGGGTGAGGTGAGGGCGAGAGTCCATGCAAGGGGACACACACACAGAGAGAGAAGGACGAGTGTGTGTGCGGGCGGTGCACGGCTCTCTCCCTCACTCTCACGCGGCCACCACCGCAGCCGCACACGCAACAAGAAGAAGCAAAAGAGGGGAGGTGGTGTGGGAGACCGCGGTGCTGCCGTCACTGTCGCCAGTCGTCGCCGTTGCAGTGTTCATGGCTGTGGCTTCGACTGGTGTTTCTTTCGGATTGGCATCTTTATTTTCATTTTGTTTTCCCTCTGCTGTCCCTGCAACATCAGCTGCTGGATCATCGTCTCCAGTTGTTGTTGTGCTGTTGGGATTTGTTTTATTCGATGCTCCCTCCGCACCAGAAGATAAATTTGGCTGCTCTTGACCGCCTGCTGAGATCGCCCCTGTGGTGCCGGTAGCAGCGTCTTCCTTCTTTTTCTGCTCTTCTTCCTTCTTATCGTTACGTTTTTCTTCTTCCTCATCCTCTTCTTCTTCTCGCCTTTCTTCTTCCCTTTCCTCATTTTCTTGCTCAGCCTTTTCTTCTTCTACTTCCTCCCCTTTCCGTTCCTTATCTTCATCCTTCTTTTTAGCAACATTTTCCTCCTCCTCTCCGTTTTCTGTTTGGTTTTTCTTCTCTGCGTTTGCCTTTCCTGGTGCTTGTGTTCCAGTTCGTGTTGCCGCTACCGCTGCCGGTAATCCTGACGTCGTTGGTGCTGGTTTTTCTTGAGACGCTGCCGGTTCACCGTTTTGGTCACCTTCTCCAGCGCCAACGACGGCCTCTTCTTTTTGAGTGCTCCCGTCGGACGCTTTAACCGAAGAACCTGGAGAAGATGTTTCAGCTCGTCCACCACCGCCGGCACCGCACCACAGCACGCAGAGGGCACACACCAGCAGCACACGGCCAGTCATCATCATCAACATCGCGGCTGCACACACAGTCTAGGGAGGGAAAAAGAGAGGAGGATGAGAAGAACACACACACAACAGCAGCATGGAAAAGAAGGAGTAGCGTTTGCGTGAGGTTTGCTGTCATGAGCATGGGGGACGCGTGCACGCAGGAAGAACAGGCAACAATGAAACACCGGACAGCACGGCACACAACTCCACGGCATGTAAAACCCACCCGCAGCTGCCCCCAATATGGAAGGGAAAGAGGGCGCAACAGTACGGCAGGAACACAGTGATGCCGTTGCAGAAAAGGATCCGAAAACGGCGTGAAAAGAAACAAAAAACAGTCTTCCCCACAGCGGCCACATCCAACAACGCAAGTAATAATAACAGAAACAAACACCACACACGGCAACTCACAGCGGCAGTGAGTTCCCTGTCGCCAATCTTCATGGCTGCACGCTACCGCACTCCTCGTGAGTCCATCGCTCCGCTGCCTTCCTCCTTCCCGCGACTCCCCCGCACGAAAAGCCGCGGCACACAATCGGGTCCATCCGCACCCGTCGCCACGCCGCCCTCAACGACCCAACAGTCAACCGCCCAAAAACCGTTGCTGAAATCACACACCCGCAACAAAGCACGCAACGCAACATCGTGTCACGTGGACCCCGCCGTCGGAAGAACGTCATGTCAACCGTTTGGCCGGCACACGGTACAATCAATCAACAGAACAGAGAAGTAAGACAGGCACTCAATCAAGGACTCTCCACGCACACAGCCCTTTTGATGCCGCCGCTGCTGCCACGGGCACGGTACCCGAGCGGAAAATGACACGCAGTAAAAAAGGCCTCGCAAGAGAGAAACAATCCACACGTCCATATGCAAAGCGCCGCTGAGGCTGCTGCGGCTGCAGGGTCTGTGGGCAAAATGCGCCTTACTGAATCCCGCCAGTTATGTCAGTTTCCCCTCCCACCAATGTAGCGCATAATGCACGGCGTGCGTCCACAGGCATCCACTCCCGGTGCCCTAGCAACACTTCAGAACACACATAATGGAGAAGGGAAGTATCATTACACAATGCCAAAGCAGGTAAACAAAAATAGGGAAATCAAAACCACACAGATCCCTCGCACACGCACACAAACACCCCACAGTATCCTCCAGAAGAAGTCAAACAATTTCTTATCCCAACCCATAATACACGCGTGGTGCCGCCAGATTAGCGACCGACAATAGAGGGAGAGTGCATACAGCATGTCCCTGGTACAAAGTATACAGACAAGCAGAGTGCATGTATATACTGACAGGAACATGCCAGTTGATATAGGCCTCTCTCTCTTGCACCCATTGCTGAGTGTTGGCACCGCGGCGGCAGCGGCAAGCAGAAGAATCAGCTGAAAGGGACAAGCCGCAGCCGCAGTGTTATTGCCGTGGACCGGGGCGGGGCGTCCTTCATGTCCGCCTCCCAACCCCGCGCACCACCGCCGCTTCATCCTCCCTCGGCGGAGGGTCCACGGCGCCCTGCGCGGCATCAGCGGCATCAGGGCCCTTGGGTCCCGTGGCTGTGGCACCGCCACCGGCCTTGTCGCTGACGGCCTCATCTCCTAATGATTGTCCGACAACAGACGTCACACCATCGGCGGCCACATCGTCGATGTCCGGAAGATCGCGCTCCTTCTCCGCCTCCTGCGGCGTACCCGCGGTGTCGCTGGGCAAGAGCACACCGTTGCCGTCGTGGCACCGGAGGCGACCTCCTTCTCCTCTGACGACGGATGCTTCTGGGGAGCAGCCGTGTCCACATCCTTCGGTGGTGTGCCACGGCCGGTCCCAATGCTCTCTGGATCGGGGACGGATGCCCGTAGCAAAGCTTGTTCAGTATATGCCAGTGAGACCGTCCTGCTCCACACCCTCTCACATCGCCGCCCCACGGAACCACAGGAAGTATCCTGCCGCTGGTGGCGGATATCGTGCACACCTGCGCGTGGTCACGGAAAATAGCTTTTCCCTCGTCGTAGCGCGGAGCGGCCCACGCAATCTTCGCCTCGTCAGTGCATGGGGCACAACAGGCGTTACCCTCTTCAGTCACTCTCAGATGCACACGCATGCCGAGGCACTTCAATGCCGCATGCATGACAGCACCGAGATGTATGTTTCTTCCGGGTCCCTCGCATCCGTCGTGTTGGTGGGAAGCGTGTCCAGACACCACGAAGAGGGCTTGTCCCCAGGCACCGCAGACAAATATTCTCCCCTCCAAATAACAGCGGCAGCATCCCTCACATCCAGTGCGGGACCAGTGATGGGGCAACTGTCCATCGAGCGTTTTGCTGACCCTTCATGGATACTCCGTCTACACACCAACCACTCGAATACCGATCCAACGTGCAGCGTCTGGCAGGAACTCCCGTTTCGCACAACATGTGGGGATATCCACTCACGTTCGGTGCGGAGCACTTCCTCTGCAGCAGCGCACAGCACGAATTCCTTCACCAGCGCATCGGCTCCGCCATCTCCCACTTCACCCTCATGCAGCCCAGGTCAGCCGGCACGGCCAGCGTCAGCTCCGTGTAGTAGCCGGCACAACCAATCGGTGCCATCCACTCATCCTTCGCGTGGCGCTGCGACCAGTGCGACTCCAGCGTCCCTTCGTCCCCATCGCCATCCTGCAGCTCCATGCCATCAATGTCGTCGCAGTCGCGGAGCATCCTCGCAGCCATCACGGCAGTCGTCGAGTGCACCACCACCGACGGCGCTCTGCCACGCACAGCACCATGTCAGCATTGGCAACACCAGTGGAACAATGCCCAGCACGCACCGTAAACCGAAGGCAAACGCTGCCCGTGGCAAATGGGGGCACAATCAAAGAACCCTCCAGTGGCTGCACGAGCAGACGATCTGCATGCGGGTTGACAGCAGCAGGGACAACTTAATTCTCGAGAATGATCCCGTGCGCAGAGAACAGAACGTCACCTTCACACTCGCAATTGTCATTCAATGAATTCATTGCGTAGTACCTCTCTGAGATCCAATACTTCCCGGCATCATCCAGGTCCCTTGTGGATACGTTGATGCGGATGGGCATCCATCCCTCCCAATGACGGTGTATGGCTGCACCGCACTCACCGCTCAAAAGTGTGCGTCCCTCACAACGACGCGGATCCAATTCGTGCTGTCGGCACGCATCACATATTCAACAAATCGAGGGTACGTCAAAGTGGCAGCAAAGCACCCGCTGGCAATCACACCACAAACATCATCACATGCAGAACTACCAGCGTCTCAAACTAATGTGGGGTGTAGAGCAAGTAAGCCATTGATGTGGGTGTTAGGCAAATATTTCTTGGCTCGCTGAAGCAACAAGGACCGATTGCGTGGGAAGAAACAAAGACCAGGAGAATAGAAAAGGGAAAATTCATCCATCCACACTTTAAGAAGAAAACCAATCAATGAAAGTAAAATGGGTGCACCCAACCACAAAAGCAATTAAAGGAAAAACAAAAAAGCCGAAGCGTGGGACGACCAGCGGACACACACTCTCACTGCTCCCGTAAAGCAAAACACACACACAGAGGGAGAGAGAGAGAGGTCGCCCACTCAATGCAATAAAAACAAAACAGAAACGGTTACGGTGCTCCGCCCATGCAGCCAGGCAGGACGGCAGCGGTGCGTGTCGTGCAAAAGAGAGCACCAACGGGCCTGCATGGGTGTGCATGCATATATACAATGGGCACATTATGTGTGTGCCTCGTGGGGTGAGGCGAGGGCGAGAGTCCATGCAAGGGGACACACACAGAGAGAGAGAAGGAAGAGTGTGAGTGCAGGCGGTGCACGGCTCTCTCACACTCACTCTCACGCAGCCACCACCGCAGCAGCAGCCGCACACGCAACAACAACAAGAAGAAGCAAAAGAGGGGAGGTGGTGTGGGAGACCGCGGTGCTGCCGTCACTGTCGCCAGTCGTCGCCGTTGTATTTTTCGTGGCTGTGGCTTCGAGCGGTGTTTCTTTCGGATTGGCTTCTTTATTTTCATTTTGTTTTCCCTCTGCTGTTCCTGCACCATCAGCTGCTGGATCATCGTCTCCAGTTGTTTGTGTGCTTTTGGGATTTGTTTGATTCGCTAATTCCTCTACACCAGAAGATAAAATTGGCTGCTCTTCACTGCCTGCTGAGATCTCCTTTGTGGTGCCGGTATCATTTTCTTTTTTTTTCCTTTTCTTCCCCTCGTTTGCTTCATCACCTTTACCTCCTTCCTCTTTTGTTTCCTTCTCATCCTTAACCTCGGCCTCTTCACTCCCATCTTCTTCCTCGTCATTTTCCTCATCATCCTCTCTTTCACTTTGTTTAGCGTTCTTTTTCTTCTCATTTTCTTCATTTTCTTCTTTTTCTGAATTTGTTTTATCTGATATTAAATCTTCTTTTTCGGTTTCCCCCCTCGCACGAGTCTCTGCAATATTTTGTAACGTCGCACCAGTTTCTGATCTCCCTGCTGTTTCTTTTCCTGAATTCGCCGGTGACTCCAATTGTTTTACACTCGACAAAACATTGTCTTTCCCTGACCGCCCTTCTTGGGAAATTGCTCCGGCGATGAATTTCTCATTTCCGGCACCATCAGCAGCAGCAGCAGCAGCAATCCGTTGACGCCTCCAACGGCTGCGGCCATCCGTAACAGCATGCAAACTCTCCATCCCCTGACGCACGCATTCCTCGACGGCGGACACATTCGCACCGCCTCCTGTCCTCCTGCTGACCTGCTCCGCGCATTCCCTCCGCAGCCAAGCACGCCACTGCAACAGTAAGTCCTCACCCGCACTGCCATCGCCACCGCCAACACCGTCGGCCGCAATTCCAGGTAAACCGCAGACACCGCACCACAGCACGCAGAGGGCACACACCAGCAGCACACGGCCAGTCATCATCATCGTCATCACTCCTGTCACTTGCGTGCAGCCTTCAGCACAAACTAACAGCACGTCAACGTAGAGTGAAAGAAAAAAGGGGAGACACGTCACAGTCAACGCCACAGTCAACGCACAGTGAGAAATTGCAGCAGCAACAGAACACACGCATTGAAACAGATGGAACCCGTACGATTGCAGAACTAGAACACCGCCCTGCACACCACGGGTTTTAAAAAAAGAACAGCTAGAATAAAAACACCGAAGACTCCAGTACGCATAAATATTTGCGTTTCTGTGATGCGTTCAACGAGGCGAATGCGAGAACAACGCGAAGCACACATCAGGGCAGCGGAAGCAAACAAAGCAAAAAACAACCACCATAATTACTCTTACTTTATACATCGGACCACAGTGGACGCGCACAAATCCCCGCGGTTGAGTGCTGGTACCCACAGCCCCCCCACACATCTTCATCCCAGAGTGGTGCACGCCAGCGCGGATGCGGCGAGCAGCAGCGAGGCAAACACCCACGCAGAGCTGCTGAGGCTGCCGTCGATTCTGCGAAGACGTGACGGTGCGAGGGTGGTCCTCGTGGTTGGCACCTCTGTAGTCGTAGCCGTATCACTAGATGCCTGTGTTGTATTCGTAGTAGTGTTTGTTTTGTTTGGCATCTTCAACTTCTGATTTGATATCTGTGACTTATGATTCTCATCGCCTCGTGTTTTTTACTGCGCCTTTTTATTTTGTGCATCTGACATACCGGTCGCACCTTGTGTGTGTGGAGACTGAGTTGCCAAACCTCGTGGCTCTGGATTATCGCTAGCCGAACTCAGTGACTCTGGCGGAACTCGTGTCCGTCCAGTGATGGCTGTGCCTGCTTCCTTTGGCAAAGAAGGTCCCGGACTTCTCAAACCCTCCTCGCTGTCTCTCCCACTCTCTGTCTGTGGCCCACCGGTCTCCCCACCATATGACTGTAATGCACCAGGCATATTTTTGTAGGATCCGGTTTCCCTAGCGCAGGGCTGGGAGGACGGCTGTTACCGTTATTATCGTCTCCTGCCGCCGTCACGCACACGGACGAGCAGCAGCAGCACAAGAGCGCAGGGACCAACACGGCGCCGCACCGTCACCATCGCAGTCATCATCGCCCGTAGTGGAGTCGCTGGACTCAGTCAGCTGATCGGTGAGACGGAAAGGAAAGAATGAAACGAGAGGGAGAGGGACGGAGCACAGCGGATACAGCGAGAGAGCGCAGACAACATGAGGAGAGGGCAGCAGGCCCAGCCGCACAGTTCACACACCACGAGACGGCATCCACGCAACGAAGGCACACAACGCCAGCAGCCACCCACCATGCAGGAGGAGAAGACATCCACCACCATCTCCCCCAGCTCATTCCCGCAGCCCCAGGGAAATGGCAAAACCCGCGGCCACCACACAACGCACACGGAGCAAGCGAACCCTCATCCATCCATCACGCGGCACAAAATTTCCTGCCATCCCGCCATCAATGGGACACGGAGCCCAACTCAGCGCAGTCACACGCGGTGCATCACACCCACAGGAAAATAGACTCGGGCTGCACTCCCTCTCCTCCCCTCCTCCTCATGGCCACGGAAGAAGACAACAGCCGCCACACGCAACTGCCAGCATGCACTACAAAAGAAGCATTCAAATCCACTGCAACGTGCATCTTGTGTGTGTGTGGTTGTGTGTGCCTGCAGAAACACAAAGCAAAGAAGTGGAAAAGAGGGAGCAGAGTATGTGGAGCGACGCACAAAAATGTACAGCGGAGACGCATAACGGAAACAACAACAAGAAGACCGCTCAAACTCATGACTGCACTGCGGCCCAAGCAGCGGCACTCCACACAATATTTATTGAAAACAAAAAAAACGTCCCCCTTCGTCTTATGTAAACCCCACCACACAAAATAATTATAAATGAAAAGAAATCGTCCATTACTGCTCCACACAAATTTAAAATAATAAAAAAATCGCCTGGCTGCCGTGTGGCCACACCAAACTGTCTGTCTGTATTTTGCCCACAAAAGAAAATTAAAAGGATGGTTGCGTGTGCTTCGACCGTCCGACCCTCCGTGTGCCCGCACATCGTTTATATTTCATGGGTCATCTGCGTGTTGCTGCTCCCCTCAGCCCTCTCATCGGCGCGTGAGTGCGGCCCGCAGAGCACAGTCACTCGTGTGTGTGGGGACTGAGAGAAGCACGCAGACATGACGGCAGTCGCGTCACTCCATCGGGAGAGTGAGCGCAGCAAAAGAAAAAGAAATCATCGGAGGGGAGAGAAATGCTCACGAGGCCGACACCGAAGGGTGCGCCACCGCAAGAAATAAACACGCAAAGCAAAACAAATCCTTAAAGAAAAACACGGCGGCAGGGTGTGGCTGTGTGTGTGGCGCTGCGGGTGTCTGCCCGCCCTGGCCGCAAAGAAAACAAAACAAGAGGGAAGAAATGTGTGCGCCGCCCCACAGGCCCTCGTCGCACGCCCACACGTCACGGCCCCTCAGCGCGCCGTTCGTCGCGGCCCCTCCTCATGCGTGCAGCAGGCGAGGCGCACAGGGCCGTCGTCATGAGCGTGTCGGTGGGTGTGCGAGTGGAGCAGTTGGGCGGGAAACACACGGCACCCCTCGCAGGAAGAGTGCAGCAAAAAACAATTAAAGAGGGAAGAGTAAAAAAGAAAAAACGTCCCTATTGATTGCCCCAAAAAGCAAAAAAAAAATGGGGATATAATAACGCACAGCAAAGCAAACAGGGAACAAATTAAATAAAAGTTATTAAAGAAGATAAATTAATTACCGTGCGTGTCGGTGCAGGGGAGGTCGCAATTGTCCCACGCGACAGCCGGTCACTCCTCACAGAGCCGCAAACACCCAAAGTCCCAACAGAAGAAGAAGCAGCAGCAGTCCGCTCCCACACACAGTGCCGGCATCGCTGTTATTCCCATGCGACAAATTTCCGAGGCTGCTGCTGAGTGCCGCAGACTTTACTTCGCCGTCCTGTGGATGGATTCCCTCCTCTCCCTGTCCACCCGTTCCTGCCGCCTCAGGTGTCACTGCGGTTCCATCTGGCGCCATGGTTTCAGCAGTAGGGGCATTTGTATCTGCTCTGACGGGAGCGCCCACTGACGGTTTTTGTGTTCCATCTCCTTGCCCCGTGTTTCCACTCACCGTCACCACCGCTGGGTCGGCGTCAGACGAGGGAGTGCCATCCACATTTTTGTTTCCACTGGGAGATGTTCCCGACGCTGACTGTTTTTCGGACTCTTTGGCTGCTGGAGAAGTCGTAGCAGTAGGTAGCCCTGATGTGGATAAACCGCCACTCCCCGCATTTTCACTTTTCCTCAACGGATCCTGTTTGTTCTGCTGTTGCTCGCCAAGAATAGACGGAGTTTCGGCTTCCGGCGTAGCTTGTTTACTTGCCACTGGTGGAATACCCTCCTTTACTGTTTTTGCTTCTCTTGCTTTTGAAATAGAAAGTTTTGTGTTAAGCGCAGTAATCTTTTCGGAACTCAACGGGCGGTTGTACAGCAACACGTTCGTCACAGTCACAGAGACGCCTCCTTGGCCCTCTGTGTTCCCTGCTTTGACTCCATCCCCTCCAATGTAGAAGTGGGAGATCTTTTTATCTTTCGTATTTATCAAATCACATTCTGCATCTCCCAACACAGGCTGACCATCGACGTACGCGGAGCCCTGGGTGCCGTTCTTTAGTACAATGGCCAATTGGTACTGTGTAGTATCCGTCAGTGTCTCCCAATTGCTGCTGTGCTCCTTGTTCTGTCCGCCACCACACAATAATATCCACTTCTTCTCTTTGTTGTTGTACGACAGTCCCAGGAGTACTGGATTATTACCGTCACTCATCTTCGCTCCCATCAAAGGAATGGGAGAACCCCCCTCCTTCGGCTCACCGTGGATGGACACCGTCGCCACAAGAGTGAAGTTGTAGTTCGCAAAGTGGTACAGCTGATTCTGCCCCTGACTGCCAACGGGCCACTCCGCCCACGCTCCCTGGAATTTCACTCCATCTGAAGACTCTGCTTTCTCTGCTGCCGCCCCTTCTTCCGCTCCCTTCTTTACTGTAGCGTTCACCCCGAGGTACTCGTCCCTCCATGTGTTATCAGAGAAGTTGCCGGACAAAAAGCCAACCAGCCCATCCGTTGGGATGGCATTGCCGCAGGCAGTGGCAGTTGAGGCGTCCTTCGCAGTACTTGAAGTGGGGCACAGCTTGGAGACACGGTCGTCCACTTTCTTCCACGTCGCCAGCACATCCTTCACACGCTGCAGCTGCGCAGTCAGAAGCACAGACCAAAGACTGTGTGATGTTTTGTCCCCACCGTCCTTCTTCTTCTCGTACAGTGCAATCAACTCCTCCTCATTATTATTCCCAATTTTGTACAACAGGGCGCTGGAGGCAGCGTCGTCATCGGATACCGGCCCAATATCAACAATGTGCGTGTTGTCCGTCAGCCAAAGATGGAGTTTTCCCTTTCCATTGCCTCCTGTAACAGCCTTCTCGGGATATACCGGGAGAGTGACGAGCATCACATTTCTGTTATCTTCAACACCGTCAATCTTCGCTGTGATGAACCCACTTCTAACGCCCCTCTCATGTAGCTTACGGTTGTTGCCCCACACGCGCGAGAGTGTCCCGAGTGCCTCCGTCCACGACTCCCCCTTGTCACCGGACTCGTACACCCTGCGGCGGCCATCATCACACGCAGTCATCATCATGAGTTTTTTGTCCTTCTCTCCCCACTCCACGATGGAGGGATCACTGCAGCCATCGGCAGACATCCCCTTCGGCCGCTTCCAACTATTAGTATCCTTCAAGGAGTGGATGATCAGCGATACGGTCTTTTCATCCTTTTCAGTGTCAACCTGGTTCGTCGTCTTTTTCCTCGTGCCTTCCACTGGGAAAACAAGCGTACCGTCCTCCATCTTAACACCCGATCCACCGCTGCCAACCAGCCGCGCCAAGGATTTGTGTTGTTTGTTATAATTCCACGGGATAGCGTAAGTATCATTCCAAAAGATTCTTTTTTGACTTATTTCATTACTGACGTTCCCTTTCACCAGCACGAGTCCCCAGTCGCCTGCGTCAGCTCCCTGAACACCAGCGGCAAGTTTCCAACTGTAATTCCCAGCAAGCATGTAAATATCACTTCCCTTCACAACCGTTGTTGGTCGGCTCAAAAGTACTCTCGTCTGGGTTTTGGAATCATCCTGACCCGCTATATGGCAGCCGCTTTTCTTATCAAATGGACATTCCTCCAGTAATTGTGTCTTTACTGCATTTGTACCCAATTCTTTTGATTCTTCATCACTCAATGTCAGGAGCCCCGAGGCAATTCCAGTAAATACTTTTTCACTGCCATCCTTGCACGGCGCCTCGGCAACGGCAAAGACATCACCTTTCACCTCAACAAGACTGGGAACACGGAGAGAAATCACCGTTTCTTCACCTTTCTTGTCTCTCCAAACAAAATATGTCTTCGGTAAAGCTCCTGGGCCTGACGCCCGTACATCAGCTTCAACACCACCAGTGTTGCAGCACATCATCACGACAAGAAGAAGCAGCACCGCAGAGTAGAAGAGATGCCGGGACATGTTGGGCCTCTGCGGCTCACTCTCTCCTCCTTCCCTCCTCCTTCCGCCGGATCCGGTCACGCGGCGACGGTTGTGTGTGCGGGGCGCCTTCACTGCAGCAACACGTGAGAGCATATAAATATGTGTGTGTGTGCGGTGTGTGTGCTGTTGGTCCTTTCAGTGCCTTCGAATTTCACAGCAGCGATTAGCGTTTAGCCTTACTTCCTTTCCTTCTTTGTGTGTGAGAAGAGGAAAAGAGAGGAAAAAGGAGTGAAACAGTGAACACCGCCGCCCCTCCACAGTGAGTGGCACCATCATCCTCAACGCAGTCACTCCCAACAACAACAAATCACGCACACAGACACACGGAATGAGAAGGAAGGACAGTGCACCGGGAACACACATCGACCGCCACCAGCAGTAAAAGCCACAGCGGGTGCTTGTGCCAAGCGTCAGCGCACATGGTGCAACGCCCACATGTACTGCCGCCAGTCGTTTTACTGTTGTCTGTCCCCGCACCATCCATCGCACATCGCCCCACACAGCCAGAGAATCCGTCGCTGTATGTACAGCGGGAGGAACACGTCGGCACGTGCAGCTGCCTGGTGTGAATCTGCACTCCTCCCAGGCACCCTTAATGCCACACCACATTCGTCAACTGCCGCACGCCAAGATAATCACGCCCTTAGCACAGAAACAAAACAAATCGCGGTGTTCCGTCATCCCTCCATCGCCATCCGCAGCTAAAATCGTGTGCGTGCGTCCTCAGCGCTCACGCCGCTCCACGGCATGTGCAACACGGTGTGTGTATGTGAATGTGTCTGGCAGCGCCTATACTTGCAGAGCAGCTGTACGCCACAAGAGAGTCCAAAGAAAGCAACGGCAGAGAGAGGCAGATAGCACACACGCAAATTACTCATATCATCACACACACACGCAGCCGCGGAATGGGTGCACCCAACCACAAAATCAAAAAGGAAAACAAAACAAAAAGCCGAAGCGTGGGACGACCAGCGCACACACACTCTCATTGCTCCCGTAAAGCAAAACACACACAGAGGGAGAGAGAGAGAGAGGTCGCCCACTCAATGCAATAAAAACAAAACAGAAACAGTTACGGTGCTCCGCCCATGCAGCCAGGCAGGACGGCAGCGGTGCGTGTCGTGCAAAAGAGAGCACCAACGGGCCTGCATGGGTGTGCATGCATATATGCAATGGGCACATTATTGTGTGCCTCGTGGGGTGAGGTGGGGGCGAGAGTCCATGCAAGGGGACACACACACAGAGAGAGAAGGACGAGTGTGTGTGCGGGCGGAGCATGGCTCTCTCTCCCTCACTCTCACGCGGCCACCACCGCAGCCGCAGCCGCACACGCAACAACAAGAAGAAGCAAAGGAGGGGAGGTGGTGTGGGAGACCGCGGTGCTGCCGTCACTGTCGCCAACCTTTGTCGTTGTACCATTTGTTCGAGCGGCGTTGATTGTTTCTGCTGTTTGTGGTGCTTCCTCACTGAGTTTTGGAACAACGTTGGTTTTGTCAGTTTCAAGGCTGTCGTGTTGTTCTTCAGAGCTTTGAGCATCATCCTCATCTGCCTTATTGTGGACATGATCACCGCTGCCACTCGCAGAGGTAGATGAGACTGTCGGTTCTGCTGGACTGCCGGTTGCTGCATTCATCGGCGGATCCTCTGTGTCTGCGTCATGACTGTGCTGCTCTTGTGTAGCATCCCCTGAAGGCTGTTCCGTTGCTTTTGATTCCATTTTGGATCCTGAAGGCGTGGCTTCGTTCGTTACTTTTTTTGAATTCTGTGGTTTTTCTCGCTCTGCTGTTGGGTCTCCCGATGGTGTTGGTGTTGGTGGTGGCGGCGGTGGCGGTAATGATTGTGGTGCTCCCTCATTATTTTTACTTTCGTGTTTCTGGGGTCGTACCTAATTTTTTCCTTTTAGTCTTTTTTAACCTTTTCGTCTCCATTTTCATCATCACTATCTTCACCATCAGCTTCCTCTATATTTGGGGAAGATTCGCGTGGCACTTCTACTTTAATAACTGGTGATCCAACTTGTAATTCTTGGGTTTCTTCTCGGGGCGTTCCAATTCCTTTTGATTCCGGCAGAGATTCATCACCACTCCCACGAGCTGCTGTCTTCTCCTCGTCACATCTGCCGCCGGCACAGCACCGCAGCACGCAGAGGGCACACACCAGCAGCACACGGCCAGTCATCATCATCGACATCACTCCTGTCACTTGCGTGTGGCCTTCAGCACAAACTAACAACACGTCAACAGAGAGTGAAAGCAAAAGGGAGAAATACAAAGCCGCTACACCACACACAACGACCGCAAAGTGTCAAATGATAGCAGCACACAACATGAGGCAGTTGAAATCAGTAAAAGGGCAAAAACACACAAACACAGCTCCGCAGCAATAAATCAGCAAGAAAAATAAACACAAAGCAATTTAAAAAAACATGAGTAAAGAAAGAGCAATAAATTCTTTAAAAAGGTAAAACCACTAGAGACAAACAGGTGCACAGAATGGCTCCAGTGTGCATGCACCAGCACACACAGACATGCTTCCACGCAAACAGTTGTGTGCGTGTCGTGCATAAGAATGTGTCCGGGATGTGTTCAACGTGACGGACACGAGAAGCAACAAAATGGAGCACACAGCAGAATAGCGGAAGCAAATGAAGCAAAACACAATCATTATTTTTTCTTATTTAGTTACATCGAACCAAAGTAGAAGCGCACAAATCCCAGTGGTTGAGTGCTGGCACGCACAGCCCGCATACAATTCTTCAGCCCACAGTGGTGTACACCATCGCGGATACGGCAAGAAGCAGCGGGGCACACACCCACGCAGAGCTGCTGAGACTGCCGTCGATTTCGCGAAGACGTGACGGTGCGCGGGTGGTCGTCGTGGTTGGTGCCTTTGTTGTAGTGGTCGTTGTCGTCGTAGTCATAGTTGGTGCCTTTGTGGTTGTGGTCGTCGTCGTTGTTGATGCAGTCATCTTCTTCTCTTCTTCTTTTCCTGACTGAATCGGCCCACTTTGTTCCCCTGACGCAACGGTTGGTACAGTATGTGGCCGTAGCGGAACGCCAGGAATTTGTAACGTGGACTGACCGGACACACCTGGTGCACCTTGACTGTTGGACGACCCACCAGATACCATCTCTTGTGTGTATTCCGTACCGGCCGCAATAACTGGCTTATCTACTCTTTCGCTTTGTTCCACTTCCTTCTCAACTGGTTCCTGTACCTCTGGTACCTTTGGCACAGAGGGGACCGCACTGGGGGCACCATTAACTTCATTCTCTGTCACGCACACGGACGGGCAGCAGCACAGGGCAAGCACCAACAGGGCGCACAGCAGACGGCACGTCATCATCGTGAGTGTGGCCGTTCGGTGGTGTGGAGCTGATCTGCACAGTGAGGGACATGGAGAGCAACAGGGGAGACAAAAGGTGCGGCAGACACACACAGAGGGCACACCACATGAGGAGAGGGTAGCAGCCAGGCATGCACCGTACGCCGCACACACATACAGCCCTGCCGCAACAACAACACACAGATGGAAGAGGGAGAAGCAAACAGGAGCGGCACACAAGGCTCCACCGCATGCACATACGGCGAGAGCGGTCCGTCGTGTCGGCACCCCTCACGGAGAGTACGCACACACACAAGAATAGGTGCAGCGCACACAGCAGCACAAAGGCAAAGTAACAATTAAAAAGGAGATCCCCGCACACCACGTGGTTTGTTGGTCGACGGGAATCGCAGCCAACATTCATCACAAATACAATTCATCTTTCTTAGGCCTTCGTTCATATTCAGCGCAAGGAATGGAATAATGCAAGCATCCATTTATTTGTGTTTCTGTTTGAATGTTGGCAGATGTCCGCATATGTTGTTTTTTTGTGTATGCAAGCCTTCATGCCTGGGTCGTGTGTTGGGGGCTCCTGCAAGGTACAGAATTATTTACTTTCATCTTGTGAATGTTTCTTGTGTTGGTGCAGCCAATAATTCGGTTTGTGTTGTTCCTGCCTTTCGCTGGTAAAGTGCTGCAATAGATGTTTGTTTTTCCCTTCGTTGCTGCGGCACCTGATTCCTCAACGTTTATTGCGGTGTAAATGAAAATATGTGAGTGGACTCCCACGCACCAGAACGCACCTCCGCTCCTATTTATTGGTGCACGGAAGGGCATGTGTGTTTGGTGGTGTCTCGTCCATATATTTTGTGGGCGTACATTCCCCTGCAGGCTGAGGGCGGGGTGACGCTCCGTCGCGGTGCACTTCCCTCGCATGCCGCCCACGGTGATTCATCATGCATCACCCTCTCACATATTCCGTGGAGCCACACCGCTGGTATTATTGCAGCCTCTGTGATTCCACGTACTTCACGCATTTGATTGTGCCACAATGCATCCGCTCGTGTGGCCGCCGCATCCAAACAGCGGTGCCCAACACCGTGAGCGGCAGCCCACATCCTTGCATGTCCCAACGCTGTGGTGTTTGACTGTCAACCAGGCGTCACACAACAGGAGAGTCTTGTGCTGGCAGTACAACACACGGAGCTGCAGTGAATGACTCGGGCGGCGACGCATCTATTTGTCGCAAAGCAGTGAAAAGGAGTCGGGCAAAATAATGCCGGCTGCACTCACGACACCACATCCACAGCCAAAGCATGCGACGTGATGTGTGTTTCACTGCTGCTGTGAAATGCCTGCAGACGACGTCACTAGTGGAGGCACACCATCCATGATCAGCGGACAGACAATAATCGGCGTGGGAGGTCACAAAAGGCAGCAACGACGCCAGCAGCAGGAGCAGCTCTCTCTCTCTGTTGCCTCCGAGAAGTAAATATTCCACCAACCACATCTGACTGTGCCATCGTGACACTCCATGCACGTCGTGGCTGCGTCAACGCATCCTGTTCCCTGCAGCACCTCAAAAGATGCCTCACTCCGTCCACTAAATGCATCGATGTGGGCCGTGCCTCGGCTGTTCGTGAGGACCACAGCGATGTGAGGGTCACCGAGTCGCAGCATGTTTGCTGTGACGTTGTTGCATGGCACCTGCACACACACACACGCAGCGCCTGCATCCCTCCCTTTTGTCTCCACCCTCTGCCGGAGTGGCCACACACACGGGCAGCAGCAAAATCACTTCACCCTCGACAATCCAAAATCAACACCGACATCCCTCGCGACGCAAACATCTCAGTTGCCAGCACGGGCCTCCTGTCGCTCTGCCATCGACGCCGAAACACGGCACAGTGCACGGACGTATTTTCCTCGTGTGCAGTCAGCCGTTTGCTTCACACATTCTTCGAAGGAATGACGTCCACAAAAGCACGCCACAAAAAGCCACCGTGATCGCACAAGCTCTTGCGATGAGCGTCGGTGCGTGCATGGATCCGCTGCTCACACGTGCTGGCAGGCAGCCTGCAGCCGGTGCCCTCGTGCCAGTTCATCGGCTCCAGCACGGAAAAGAGAAAACCGCCAATTCCCGATGCACTTATTCCCACCAGCAGCACCAACACGCTGGTCGCCAGCCGTCATTCCTCAGCACATCCAGGAATGCTGAAAAGTGACGTGGAACTGTCAGCCAGCAATGCCGCAATCCCGCACACATGTCGGCTCCACCAGAGACGACACACAAACCACAAAAAACCCCCCCCACATGATTTCCGAACATCATTCCGACACACCGCGACACGCCAAACAGAAGTAATCGTCACCCCAATGCACCTCCCCACACAATCACATAGTCCATGCACCACGCACGGCAGCAGCTCACACGCGGTCAGACAAATGTCCCTCGGATCAGTGTTATCCGCGTGCAGCAGTGGGAAGTAAACAAAAGAGACAGCTGCCAAACCCCAAAGAGTGCCGCAACTGGCTGCAAGTCAACGGAACACAGCCACTCAAATGAATTCAGTCCTCATGCCCTCAGCCTCCCACCTTCCCCACAAAAGCTGCCAATCAAATGTGACGTCCAATAAATTCGCTTTGCAAAAAAAGGAGTAACCGCAGTGCATCCTGCTGTCATCAGAGATGTTGTTTGTTGATTAATGCGGCAGGCACTCACCTTCTCCTCAAAACGACGCTGTGCAACTGCAACGCATTCTTCAGAATCGCAAGTCTCCAACCACATCGGGAAGCTCCTACGCACCTTCGTCACACACCACAATGCAAATGAAAAAACAATGCTTTAGTTGGACTGCGATGCGGACCGTGCCACGCCGCCATCAGCTGCGGCTGGGTGCAGAGGCTGGTGCGTCCCGGCACACCACGCGGCGAGGCAATCGCACCGTGTCCGGCCCCCATTCACCTCCACAGCCTGGAAGTGCGGCACCGCGACAGCTGCACTGCATCGCTCGGCCCACGCGCATCAAAGAAAGATACTTCTGTCCACCTGGCAGCCAATCCAGCACCGCTGCAGAGGAACATTGGGTTCCGCGCACCCACACAACACGAACGCCTCACACTTCTCCGATTTATTGAGGAAGTGCATGGCGCAATCTTATTGGAGGCCATTCCGCCGTCCATGCATGAAAAGCGGCGACATCGATCCCGCTTCCGAGAGATGCTGTTATTAATGGATTGCGCCGCGTATGTAATATTATTGGGATACCCCACAACCACAATCGTGCTCCTCCTATTCAACATCGTGATTTCCTCTGGGACACTGAGTTGCAATAAAGTGGAATTTAATCAGCCACGCTTTGAAAAAGACGCCTCTGACGATGTGAAGCGCACGGCTCTTGATTCTATTTACTCCTCTCTGGGAGCGTATGATTTTGAATTATGGACAGACGTTTCTTCATCTCTCGCTGAGCCCTCATCTGGATCCGCTGCACTATTGTACGGCTCCACCACGACAAATGATATCCCTGTGGAGGTCCATCGTGCAGCAGCTGGCAGGCTCGCATGCTCATAGAGAGCAGAGTGCCTTGCCACTGAAAATGGCATTAGACATCTCATACCTTTTGTCTGGAAACATCCCAATCGCCCACACGAATCCTGGTGGCAACGGACTCCCTGTCGGCAACTGAGGCACTCCGCGCTGCCCCACTGGCCATGCGAGGCTACGTCACTGAAGAGAGTTGGATTATGCTGCTCTCCTTGATACAGCGAGGTCACTATGTAGACTTCATGATCTCTCCATTGCACTGCGGTATCCCACGCAATGAGGCCACTGACGAAGAAGCCATGATTGCACGATCCCTCCCGCAGGAGGACAGCCCAATCTGGCACGTGGACTTTTTTACTGCAGTCGGGTACCCGTACTAGAAGGATGCCCAGAAGAAAAGGAAGGCGCGTGCACCGCATGAGAGGCGCCTGTCGGCGTGGCGAGGACTCTATTCCTGGCACGACCAGAAAATCGTTCCCCGAGTGGCGGCTCTGCGCGCAGGCACGGCACGACCCCTGGCCACTCCTCGACAGTCCTGCGCGCGCCCTTCGTATCAAAAGTAACCCTCTGTGTTGGTGTCGCCGCCCTTTCTTACTGAAGAGACCGGCCCGCCGCTGCCTCCGCCAGAACCTCTTCCCGAAGTGAGCGCCGCAAATCCTTGCCGACCAGCGAGCGGCGGATTGAGGTTCTCCTGCCCAACCTGCGGCAGAGCGCTTGCCCGTCCACAATATGAGGGCGCATGCCCGACATGCTCAGCCTGGCGTTCCGATAGTTTGAGAAGGCCTCGGATGCGGATGCCGCAATGGTGCCAGCGTCTTCTTAACAGGCGCCTCGCGCACAGGTCGCCACAGAAAGTGCCAAGCATGCCAGCAGGCAAAACACGCAGAAAGCACAAATGCGGGTACTAGAGATGGACCACGAAAGAATTCGCTTCATCCACTGCAGAAATGCCCCGTCGTTGGCAATTGGGAATGCGAGTGTTTGGAGTGCCTCAGCCCGCACGACGGCACGTTTCGGACGGAATGCTTGCCACTTTTGTACGGATGGCTCTTGCGCTACTCACTTGTTATTGTGACGGCATACAGCAAAAACAAGATAACAAGTTGCTTTGCGATGAATGTTGGCTGCGATTCCCGTCGACCAACAAACCACGTGGTGTGCGGGGATCTCCTTTTTAATTGTTACTTTGCCTTTGTGCTGCTGTGTGCGCTGCACCTATTCTTGTGTGTGTGCGTACTCTCCGTGAGGGGTGCCGACACGACGGACCGCTCTCGCCGTATGTGCATGCGGTGGAGCCTTGTGTGCCGCTCCTGTTTGCTTCTCCCTCTTCCATCTGTGTGTTGGTGTTGCGGCAGGGCTGTGTGTGTGTGCCTGTTGCCGTGGATTGGAGTGTGTGCCGTGCGTGTTGTGCGGCGTACGGTGCATGCCTGGCTGCTGCCCTCTCCCCATGTGGTGTGCCCTCTGTGTGTGTGTCTGCCGCACCTCTCGTCTCCCCTGTTGCTCTCCATGTCCCTCACTGTGCAGATCAGCTCCACATCACTGAACGACCACACTCACGATGATGATGACGTGCCGTCTGCTGTGCGCCCTTTTGGTGCTTGGCCTGTGCTGCTGCCCGTCCGTGTGCGCGGCAGAGTCTACTGAGCATACTGAAGTCAAAGCTGCTGTCGCCACCAGTCCACAGTCCTCTCCATCGGTGACAGTAACACAAGGAAAAAGTGAGCCAGGGTCGCCAAGTAATGGATCCGGTGCGGACCTGGAAATTACTGCAGTAGATGGACCAGCCCCGACTGCTGCAGGTCCGGAATCAGTTGGCGTGTCTAACACGTTACAAAATCATGGTACGGATGGTACACCAGGACCAGAAATCGGCACAAGACAATCCGCAGAAGAAGCAAATCAGGAAGCCGAAGATCTTGCCAAGACGACTACGACGACGACTACAACATATGCACCAACCACGACCACCACCACCACAACAGAGGCACCAAGCACTACGACTACAGAGGCGCCAACCACGACGACCACCCGCGCACCGTCACGTCTTCGCGAATTTGACGGCAGCCTCAGCAGCTCTGCGTGGGTGTGTGCCTCGCTGCTGCTCGCCGCATCCGCGCTGGTTTACACCACTGTGAACTAAAGAGGTGTGTGCGGGCTGTGCGTGCCAGCACTCAACCGCGGGGAAATGTGCATGTCCGCTGTGGTCCGATGTACTAAATAATGGGATAAAATAATGATTGTGTTTTGCTTTGCTTGCTTTCGCTTCATGCTGTGTGCTGCTTTTTGCTTCCCCACATCCGTCACGTGGAACGCATTCCAGGCACAGTTACAAGCGCGACACGCACACGACTGTTTGCATCGATGCACTGTTGAGGATGGGTGCATGCGCACTGCAGTCATACTGTGCAGCTCTTTGTTTTTGTCTTTTTTTCTTTTGTGTTTTTACTGTTTTACTTTATTGCTTTTTGTTTGTTTTTATTTTGTTTTTTTATGCGTCTTTTTTTTAATTTGTGCATGTTATTTTGCCTTTTAAAACTTTAATTGGCTTGATGTTTTTCATGAAGTGCGTGTTGCCTCTGCTGGCAGCTTTGACTGTGACGTGTCTCTCCTTTTTGCTTTCACTCTGCGTTGACGTGTTGTTAGTTTGTGCTGAAGGCTGCACGCAACTGACAGGAGTGATGGCGATGATGATGACTGGCCGTGTGCTGCTGGTGTGTGCCCTCTGCGTGCTGTGGTGCGGTGCTGCGACGGTGGTGTCGACGGCGCCTGATGCTACCCGTGCCCAAAGTGTTTGGCCTGAGTATTTGTTCCTAAATTGGCATGAACTCTTTAGGAACGAATGCAAGGTGGAAAATCCGTATGAGAATGAGGATTTGAAGGGGTTAGCCGTGAATTGCTGTGTGCGTGATGCGATGAGGGAGCTTTGCAGCAGTTTTTACGGTAAGACTGTCATGGAAAATAAAGACCCTAATGTTGAGGGTATCTGCAAAGAGTACGCTGGAAAACCAGATGATGTTGCTGATTGCCCAAAACCACAAACCAACCTGTCGCCTGCTGCGGTAACTTTAGTGAAAGTATCAGTTCCAGAAGCACCGAAAGACAAAGAAAAAGAATTGAGAAAACAATCGGAAGAGGCACCGAAAGCGCCACCGGAAGAGGCACCGACACCACTAGCAAGAACGCCTTTGACGAATTCACCAGCAAACCCAACAAACGTATCACCATCACCGCCACTGAAAGGGCAACCCGCCAACGAAGAGGAAGTGCCGGTGCCAAATTCAGAGGAAGGCTCATTGAGCACGGGGCCAATAAACGATTCGGAAGAGGGGGACACTGACACAGTCACAGACACCGAGCAGGATGAACCATCTAACAGTCAAGCCGAACCAACCACACCAACACCCACGGTTGCCAGCGATAATGGTGATAACGAAACGGACAAGGGCACTGGAGAAGATACTCCGAACAATACACCGGAACCCGATGTTGCCGGGACAGAAGAAAAGCAAGACGAAGATAAAAATAATAAACCGAAGGAAAGAACGCTCCAAGTTGCGGGTATAAAAACCACAACGGCGACGACTGGCGACAGTGACGGCGTCAAAGCCACCTCCCCTCTTCTGCTTCTTGTTGTTGCGTGTGCGGCTGCGGCTGCGGTGGTGGCCGCGTGAGAGTGAGTGTGGGAGAGCCATGCACCGCCCGCACACACACTCGTCCTTCTCTCTGTGTGTGTCCCCTTGCATGGACTCTCGCCCTCACCTCACCCCACGAGGCACACAATAATGTGCCCATTGTATATATGCATGCACACCCATGCAGGCCCGTTGGTGCTCTCTTTTGCACGACACGCACCGCTGCCGTCCTGCCTGGCTGCATGGGCGGAGCACCGTAACTGTTTCTGTTTTGTTTTTATTGCATTGAGTGGGCGACCTCTCTCTCTCTCTCCCTCTGTGTGTGTGTTTTGCTTTACGGGAGTAATGAGAGTGTGTGTACGCTGGTCGTCCCACGCTTCGGCTTTTTTTTTTGTTTTCCTTTTTGATTTTGTGGTTGGGTGCACCCATTCCGCGGCTGCGTGTGTGTGTGTGTGATGATATGAGTAATTTGCGTGTGTGCTATCTGCCTCTCTCTGCCGTTGCTTTCTTCAGATTGTCTTGTGGCGCACAGCTGCTCTGCAAGTATAGGAGCTGCCAATCACTCACACACATGCCGTGTTGCACACGTTAAGGAGCGGCGTGAGCGCTGAGGACGCACGCACACGATTTTTCTGTGACCCTTGAAAGGAGTTTGAGTTCGGGATTTGTTTTGTTTCTGTGCTAAGGGCATGATTTTCGTGGCGTGATGCAGTTGACTAAAGTGGTGTGGCATTAAAGGTGCCTGGGAGGAGTGCCGATTCTCACCCAGCAGCTGCACGTGCCGACGTGTTTCTCCCGCTGTTCATGCACCGACGAAGGATTCTCCGGCTGTGCGGGGCGATGTGCGATGGAGGGTGCGGGGAGAGACAACAGTAAAAAGACTGGCGGCAGTGCATGTGGGCGTTGCTCTGTGTGTGCTGACGCGTGGCAGAAGCACCCGCCGTGGCTTTTACTGCTGGTGGCATTCGCTGTTTGTTATCGGTGCACTGTTCTTCCGTCTCATTCCGTGTGTCTGTGTGCGTGAGTTGTTGTTGTTGGGAGTGACTGCGGTGGGGATGATGATGCCACTCACTGTGGATGGATGGCGGTGCTCACTGTTTCACTCCCTTTTCCTCTTCTCTCTCTTTCTCACACACAAAGGAGGAAAGGAAGTTGATACCAAGCGCTAATCGCTACTGTGAAATTCGAAGGCTCTGGAAGGACCAACAGCACACACACCGCCCACACACATATTTAAATGCTCTCACGTGTTGCTGCAGGTGTCATGGCACCCCGCACACACAACCGTCGCTGCGTGACCGGATCCAGCGGGAGGAGGAGGGGAGGAAGAGAGAGTGAGCCGCAGAGGCCCAACATGTCGCGGCGTGTGTTTACCTCCGCGGTGATCCTCCTCTTTTTTATGATGATGTGCTGCAACACTGGTGGGACTGCATCCAATGAGAAGGAGTTGTCAGATTCGGAACCTTCAAAGAGTAAAAGTTTTGTTTGGAGAGATAAGAAGGATGAAGAAATGGTGAGTTCGCTCCGTGCTCCCAGCCTGGTTGAGATGAACGGGAAAGTGTTTGCCGTTGCCGAAGCGCAGTGCAAGAAGAACGGTGAAACCAACAGCTTTACTGGCATTGCTTCCCAAATTATCAAACAAGGAAGTGTTGTCGGAAAGGAGGAAGTTCTGAAGGATGCCAACACGAAGACAAAAGTACTAGAGGAAGGCGTTTCCGAAAAAAAGGAGAAAGTTGATGTGAGCCGACCAACAACAGTCGTGAAGGGAAATGACATTTATATGCTTGTTGGAAAATACAGCCGGACAGATGCCGCTGATGCTCGGGAGAGTGGAGCGGATGACTCGGGGCTATTGCTGGCGAAAGGGAACGTTAGTGGTGTTGAAAGTAACGAGCAAATTAACTGGGAAGATCCTAAATTTCACCCGCGACGTCTTTTTGACACAGAGCACAAATCGTTGACGTCAATGTTTGGCAGCGGTGGATCTGGTGTTCACACGGAGGACGATACGCTCGTATTCCCAGTGGAAGCCAAGAAAAAGCAGAAGGAAACTGACACAGAAAAGGAAGAAAAGACCGTATCGTTGATCATGTACACCCTGAAGGATACTGCTGGGAGTTGGAAGCTCTCGAAGGGGATGTCTGACGGTGGCTGCAGTGATCCCTCCGTCGTGGAGTGGAAGGACAAAAAACTCATCATGATGACTGTGTGTGATGATGGCCGCCGCAGGGTGTACGAGTCCGCTGACAAGGGGGAGTCGTGGACGGAGGCACTCGGGACACTCTCGTGCGTGTGGAGCAACAAACAGGGAAATGAGAAGGGCGTTAGAAGCGGGTTCATCACAGCGACGATTGACGGTGATGAAAATAAGAGAAATGTGATGCTCGTCACTCTGCCGGTGTATTCCGAGAAGGCTGATAAAAAAGAAGCGGGCAATGGAAAGAGTGAACTCCATCTTTGGCTGACGGACAACACGCACATTGTTGATATTGGGCCGGTATCCGATGATGACGCTGCCGCCAGCTCCCTGTTGTACAGAAGTGGTAAAACTGATAATAATGATGAGAAGTTGATTGCACTGTACGAGAAGAATAGCGGTGGGAAACCATCACCCGGTATGGTCTCTGTGCTTCTGACTGAGCAGCTGCAGCGGGTGAAGGATGTGCTGGCGACGTGGAAGAAAGTGGACGAAACTGTCTCCAAGCTGTGCACCACTTCAAGTGCTGAGAAGGATACCTCATCTGGCACTGCCATGCCGACAAATGGGCTGGTTGGCTTTCTGTCCGGCAACTTTTCTAATGACACATGGAGGGACGAGTACCTCGGGGTGAACGCCACAGTGAAGAAGAAAGATGGGGCTGCAAAGAATACAGAGGATACAAGGGCAACAAAGACTTCCGATGGTGTGAAGTTCCATGGAGCGTGGGCGGAGTGGCCCGTTGGCAGTCAGGAGGAGAATCAGCTGTACCACTTTGCGAACTACAACTTCACTCTTGTGGCGACGGTGTCCATCAACGGTGTGCCGGAGAGTGGCAGCGTCCCTGTGATGGGTGTGCGTCCGAGCCGTGAAGGAGGAAAAAAAACTTTTGAACTGTCGTACGACAGCGGAAAGAAGTGGCGAGTGCTGTGCGATGTCGAAAACCCTGAGGATCAAGGCCACATTTTGGCGACGGATACAACACACAACGTGGTAATTTTGCTACGGAACGGCAGCCAAGGCTCTGCGTACGTCGATGGTCAGCCTGTGGGTGGGGATGAACAATGTAAATTGGAAACCACGGGATCGAACGAGATCTCGCATTTCTACATTGGAGGGAATGGAGGCGAAAAAGGTGTCTCAGGGAATCAAGACGTGTCAGTGACGGTGACGAACGTCCTGCTGTACAACCGCCCGTTGAATGACGATGAGATCACTGCGCTTAACACAAAACTTTCTATTCCAAAAGCAAGAGGTACAGAAACAGTGAATGGGGATACTCCACCAGTGGCAAGTAAACAAGCTACGCCGGAAGCCGGAACTCCGTCTATTCTTGGCGGGCAAAAGCAGAATGAACAGGACTCGTTGAAGAAAAGTAAAGATGCGGACAGTGGCGGTGCATCCGCATCAGCGGTGTCCACTGTCAGTATTCCATCAGCAGAAAAGGACTCCGTAGTGCAGGTGGAGTCAGGAACATCTTCCGATGGAACTCAAACTGTGGGTGGCGGTTCTACTGCTGATGGCGAGCCAACGATGGAGAAAAGAGAAGGAGGAACGGATGCGCAGGAGGAGGGAATCCATGCACAGGGCAGGGAAGTAAAGGCTGCGGCACTCAGCAGCAGTCTCGGAAATTTGTCGCAGGGGAATAACACCGATGCCGGCACTGTGTGCGGGAGCGGACTGCTGCCGCTGCTGCTTCTGTTGGGACTGTGGGGGTTTGCGGCTCTGTGAGGAGTGACTGGCTGCCGCGTGGAACACTTGCGACCTCCCTGCACCGACACACACGGTAATTAATTTATCTTCTTTAATAACTTTTTTTAATTCCCTGTTTGCTTTGCTGTGCGTTTTTATATCCCCATTTTTTTTTTTTTTTTTTTCTTTTGGGGGCAATCACTATGGATTTTTTTCTTTTCTACTCTTCCCTCCTTTAATTGTTTGTTGCTGCACTCTTCCTGTGAGGGGTGCCGTGTGTTTCCCGCCCAACTGCTCCACTCGCACACCCACCGACACGCTCATGACGACGGCCCTGTGCGCCTCGCCTGCTGCACGCATGAGGAGGGGCCGCGACGAACGGCGCGCTGAGGGAGCCGTGACGTGTGGGCGTGCGACGAGGGCCTGTGGGGCGGAGCACACATTTCTTCCCTCTTGTTTTGTTTTCTTTGCGGCGAGGGCGGGCAGACACCCGCAGCGCCACACACACAGCCACACCCTGCCGCCGTGTTTTTCTTTAAGGATTTGCTCTGCTTTGCGTGTTTATTTCGTGCGGTGGCGTACCCTTCGGTGTCGGCCTCGTGAGCATTTCTCTCCCCTCCGATGATTTCTTTTTCTTTTGCTGCGCTCACTCCCCCGATGGAGTGACGCGACTGCCGTCATGTCTGCGTGCTTCTCTCAGTCCCCACACACACGAGTGACTGTGCTCTGCGGGCCGCACTCACGCGCCGATGAGAGGGCTGAGGGGAGCAGCAACACGCAGATGACCCCATGAAATATAAACGATGTGCGGACACACGGAGGGTCGGACGGTTGAAGCACACGCAACCATCTTTTTAATTTTCTTTTGCGGGCAAAATAAATACAGACAGTTTGGTGTGGCCACACGGCTGCCAGGCGATTTTTTTCTTATTTTAATTTGTGTGGAGCAGTAATGGACGATTTCTTTTCATTTATAATTATTTTGTGTGATGGGGTTTACGTAAGACGAAGGGGACGTTTTTTTGTTTTCAATAAATATTGTGTGAATTGCCGCTGCTTGGGCTGCAGTGCAGTCATGAGTTTGAGCGGTCTTCTTGTTGTTGTTTCCGTTATGCGTCTCCGCTGTACATTTTGTGCGTCCCTCCACATACTCTGCTCCCTCTTTTCCACTTCTTTGCTTTGTGTTACTGCAGGCACACACAACCACACACACACAAGATGCACATTGCAGTGGATATGAATGCACCTTTTGTAGTGCATGCTGGCAGCTGCGTGTGGCGGCTGTTGTCTTCTTCCGTGGCCATGAGGAGGAGGGGGAGAGGGAGAGAGGGAGCGCAGCCCGAGTCTATTTTCCTGTGGGTGTGATGCACCGCGTGTGACTGCGCTGAGTTGGGCTCCGTGTCCCATTGATGGCGGGATGGCAGGAAATATTGTGCCGCGTGATGGGTGGATGAGGGCTCGCTTGCTCCGTGTGCGTTGTGTGGTGGCCGCGGGTTTTGGCCATTTCCCTGGGGCTGCGGGAATGAGCTGGGGGAGATGGTGGTGGATGTCTTTTCCTTCTGCATGGTGGGTGGCTGCTGGCGTTGTGTGCCTTCCTTGCGTGGATGCCGTCTCGTGGTGTGTGGACTGTGCGGCTGGGCCTGCTGCCCTCTCCTCATGTTGTCTGCGCTCTCTCGCTGTATCCGCTGTGCTCCGTCCCTCTCCCTCTCGTTCCATTCTTTTTCTTTCCGTCTCACCGATCAGCTGACTGACACCGGCGACTCCACTACGGGCGATGATGACTGCGATGGTGACGGTGCGGCGCCGTGTTGGTCCTTGCGCTCTTGTGCTGCGGCTGCTCGTCCGTGTGCGTGACGGTGACAGGAGACGATAATAACGATAACAGCATTCCTCCCTGCCCCGAGCTAGGGAAACCGGATCCTACAAGAAACATGCCTGGTGCATTACAGCCATATGGTGGGGAGACCGGTGTGCCACAGACAGAGAGTGGGCGAGACAGCGAGGAGGGTTTGAGAAGTCCGGGACCTTCGTTGCCAAAGGAAGCAGGCACAGCCATCACTGGACAGACACGAGTTCCGCCAGAGTCACTGAGTTCGGCTAGCGATAATCCAGAGCCACGAGGTTTGGCAACT